TAAAAGACTATTTTATTTTTACATTCTTTCTTGGACTAAAAAATCGGTCTCAGCGTCTCCCCATAAAATCGGCGTTGTCATTGTATAAAAATAAAATAAAAATCAAAATGTTTAATGTAATTATTAGTCGGTTATTTTTTTAAAAAATTTTTTTAAAAAATAAAAAAGATATGCTTCCCTTTATAAACATTTTCTCTTGTTTGAAATTCTGTTTCTTTTTGTTAAAATTAACAATACTATATCAGCATCAACGTGAACAAATATTGATAAAACTATATATTTAACTAAAATTCACATCAGACAATTACAGCTTAAATACTCCTACAGATTTTGAATCAGTATAATAACGAATCATATAATTAGATCTACAATATAAAAACAAATTTTAGCTAAATCCTACAAACAAATTCAAATCAGATTACAGATTTAGATCAATATAATAACGGATCAGTATCAGTATAATTACAGATCTATAAATAAGTTATTCCGAAAGTGGGGTTAAATGGTCATTTTTTATAGATTAGTATTTTGTATTACTTTTCAGTATGTACTGCTAATTCTTTAATAATAAATGATTTTCCGCAGCTTATTTGTGAAACAAAAAAATATATATATATAATTACGTAAATAATAAATAAAACAAATCAGATCTACATACAATATATCATCTCCAGTGATATATATCAAAAGATTCGCTCAAGATCAACTCAAGTTCAACTCAAGTTCGCTACAAACGAATATAAATTCAACTCAAATCAGTCAGAAACCATTAATTTTATTAAATTATTTAATGTTATAAATATTTTATTAAATATTCCATTAAATAATTAATTAAATTTTGTTAAATTTTAACAATTGCATGTGGAAATTATCAGCAAAATTTCAGTACAGATTGAAAAGTTTGAGAAAATTCTAAAATCGTGTGTTTGTAACGCCGGCGACAAATAACAACCCCTAAACAAATTTGCAATATGTATTGTTGATCATAAATATATCTTAGCACGTCATTTAAATCACATGTTATATACAAAAAATATGATATTTAAGAAATATTTACAAAACTTCGAACTACATTTACGGCATCATACTAGAACAAAAATGTTTTATTTATTGATGATCTATAACATGTATCACGTTCCCATCTCGATTCCGCACAGTTTAACTATATGACCAATGACCTAATCAAATTATTCAGATTCTGGAAAAATCTTACCAATCAGACGCTAATTTCGTTTACAAAATACTAAATGTTCAAAATTAGATGGCAATAAACTGGTACGCCTAACTGTCATAACATTACTGGTATCAGAGAACAATCTTTCACTGGAAGCAGATGTTGCCAGAATAGCTAAGTACTTTTTTGCTAATTGTGATAAGATTGGAAAGCGTGATTCCTAAGATGCCTATCATTTAAAGGACAAGTACTAAAACTATTTTTCTCCATCATCAGATATTCCTCAATTTCATCACGCCTTTCAGATCGATAACGATTAGCAAATATATTCCAAAGAAGAGAATTCTCAGGTGATTGTGATTGTTATTGTTGTCGAATTATGCCTAAATCTTCCTTGGCTTTTTCATAATTTCTCTCAAGAGATTTTTTGTTCTAATTATTTGTGATTCAGAAGCAAAACTAAGAAATTTACATCTTGGATCTAAGATTGCAGCTATCATACCTTTATCTTGAGATACGTTCCAATAATGTTTCATCACTATATATAATGCTGATTTAACCTTCCCAATTAAATCATTACAGTCCTGTGATATATTTATAGAAAATTTTTGCCGCTTTAGATGATCATCAATTTCATCATCATCATCAGGATATTATTATCAAAGACCATTGTAGGGTTGGTGAGATCAATTTCCTCAGGATTTATTTTACTAGAACTAATAATCCCATTTGTAATCTCTGTTATTGCATTATATATAAAACTTATTATCGCATATTTACTACCTTCAAGAAGTTCAGTTCCTGATGCAAAAGTTTTAGTATTATAATTAATTGTTTGATAGCAACCTACTTGTCTCCGATAAGATTTATTTCACTGAGTCTTTTTCTATCTTTTTATTGCAAGATCTTTATCTCTCAACATAATCATTGATATTACGTTAATGTAATCATGAATTTTTCTAACTGAATCTATGCTAAATATGATGAGTTCTAATGGGTATTTACGTCAAAAATAAGTCTAAGGTAGTGATCATTTTCACTTAGATCCTAGGATTAAGAAATTAAATATTAAATATTAGAAAATAATTCAATTACAAATATGGATTTTAAATAAATTTACCTCTTTCTGATTACGTCTCATGTTTTGTTGAATTTAATTAATCGTTCAGTTTATTTTAGCATAGTGAAGAAACTGATTAAACATTTTGCTTGTGCAACTAATCTCTCTGCTAAGATGAATCCTTTTCCTACTACTAGTTAAAACGTATGAGTCGTACATGGTAAACATGTAATATTATTAGAATCTTTAAGTAGCTTACCAGCTTTAACCATATTGCTTCTGTTATTAATGATTATTGTAAATATTTTTCCATCTAAATTCTATTTTATAATGATTTGATTAAGATAATCAACAATATTTTTGCTTGTATATGAATATTTTAAATATTTAATTGACAAAGTAGCTTCATAAAGTTCAAAATGAAAGTTTACAAATGAACAAGTCACACTTAAGTAACTAGCTCTACTCCTTGATATCCAAAAGTCTAAAGTTAAAGAGCATAATACAACACCTTGTTCAAATAGATGAACAATTTCTTCTTTGCAGAAATTATAACTCTTAACTAATAGCTTCCTCACTTTATTATTACTTGGTAACTCATAAAGTGGTTCTAATTCTTTCACAAATTCATGAAACCCTTCATTATTTTTAATACTTATTGGTTGATCATCTTTTATAATAATTCTTAAACTTTTATCTAATTGATTTTTTTAGCAGAAATATTTCAAGTTTCTTTGACATTTTCATTATTCTGCTATGATAAATCACTATCACGTTGTTAATCCTATACTCAGCTATTGAACTTAGGGTAACTATGACTTAATAACAGAGAGTAACGTGCGAGAATCTACTAAGTTACTGTAGAATAAGTCCTATCATAATCAACCTTAGGTTTATACTTTTAGACGAGTAAATAACTTTAACAACTTGTAAATATGATAAATATAATTGATATATTGAAGGAATTTTTAATATGTGTAGTTTAGAAAGAGATTTCTTTATTGTAGAGATTTGTATTCTAAGCAACCTTTAATCTTGAATTCTAAGTCTTAAACTTAAACTATTGAGTTTACACTATTATCACTACTCTTTTGCAAGAACAAATTTCTATCCTATTTATACAAAAATATAATTATAAAAAATTACTATCTAATGCTAAACTATTTTATAATGATAAGATAAATATAAAAGATAAATTATTATTTAACAATAATAATAATATAATAAATAATAATAATAAAATATAAGAATAAAATAAATAAAATAAAAATATTAACT